GATCTTTGCAAAATTACAATTACTAGATGTGCTGGATGCCAAAAATAACAAACTCAGCTGCAACACAGGGTGTTGGTTCTCTCCTATATACCAAGAGAAGATCCTGTGATACATTTATCATTTAATGCCATAAAGTGTGTGCAAATCTAACCAGACCCACAACTGCACCAACAGTAAAACTACAGAACAGAAATGGTCCCATTTCTAACATTAAGAAGTAAATATCCCCTTCCATTCACAGGTAGACAGAGGGCTGAACATATCCTATAGGTGATTCCAGGTGTGATAGAAAGTCTTAATATTCAGGATAAAATAATAATAATAATAAAAATACCCCAAACAGTAACTAGTCTCAGTTTATTCCCTGTAGTAAAGGTTTTTGTGCACTGAATACCACACATTTCTTCTACATTAATGACACTGATTGCCATCTGCCTGTGATAATGTAGAACATCAGAATTCAGTGATACAATGAGAGGTAGAATAGCACACAGCAATAAACTTTGGCAAGGTTACCTGAGCATTCAAATTAGAGCAACTAACTGTAGATCTAGACCACACCGAAGTTAGTATGTAGATTCAAAGAGAAAAGGAAGAAAATCAAAGAAGTAGCAAGAACAAAGACACCATTAGAACCTGGAAAGTCTTCTGAGAAACACACTTGAAGAACAGAAAGAATTGTTAATGCAAATGATTGTTTTGTAATAATAATTTAGTAAAATGAATCTGTCAACATAATGTAAAAGCTTGTTAATTGACATAAAAGGGTGTCAGCTCTTAATTTTCTGCTGGGATGGCTCGTGAGGTTTTCTGTTGGGAGTTTTTTTGGATACTTTTTTTTTTAAAATGGAAAAGAACTTGATATTCTCAAAAACATGCATGTTGGTACTTGTGGCTGTGAAATCACACTGTTCTTTCAGAAAGCCAAGCTGATGTTCCTACAAGGAATTTGGCCTAGACAATGCAAGTTTGTTCATGTAAGAGTAAAGGGATGAGGTCTTTATGGCATATTGGAGTATGGTCCTTGGAATAAGATCCTCATTTACTAAATAAATTACTGTATAGTACTGTATAATGGTGTTCACATTATAACTGACAATTAGCACCATTAAAGAGAACGCTCATAAACAGCCAAAGCTCACATCAAATTAACACAGCCATGATTAAAATCACTCTTCTGATTTCTGCTCTTCACAGAAATAATCAGCATTTTGCATAAAAATCAGTATGGAGCAGCTAAAAAAGAATCACAAAAAACAAAACCACGGTTATGCTGGGATGGTGGGACTGCACTCCACCAGCACAGCACAGCAGTGCCACGTCAGCTCCTCAGCTGCTGTGAAATATTAAGTGTTGGGTTTCCCTCAGAGCAGGGAGCTCACACGGACCTTGTGCAGCCAGGGCTGGTAACCAGTGCGGTGACACGGGAGATTAAAGTGCTGCAATTACTCCTCTTGGCTCTAATGAGGGGAACCTGGGTTCTCTCCTGGCCTGAGGGAAGCTCATCTTCTTTATTTTAACTTTGTCACTTAGCCACTTAAATGGTTTTCTAGCGTTCGCATGTTCATTTATTCTGCTGCGGCTTCAGAATGAAAAAGAAAAACCTGAATAATTACAGCAGAGAAGAACAATAACAAAATACAAAGGAGTCAGCAATTCATTAAAATTTAGAGAATGCAACATTAAAAACTTTTCTTAACTTGAAAAAAAAAAAAAAGGAGTGAGACTTTTTCTAAACTGGCATGGAGCCCACGTCCTCATTAGGATTCACACTCCACTCACACAGCAATACACTAATGGTATCACTTTAATCTTCAGCATCACAGCACTAGTTCCTGGCCTCAACCAGATGTTGATGCTAAAATGGCAAGAAAGAGGGAAAAAGAAACTTCTTGCCAGCACTGAGCAGGGCTGGCATCAATCTGTATCCTAGCTGCAGGTGGAAGTTTGAAGCACAGGGACACAAACGCTACTTCAGAGACAGCTAGGCCTGTAATGGCTTCATAAGGCTCAAGTATCACTAAGGAAAATCTAATCAATAAATAAGCAATCAAGACCTCTAATGAAAGAATACCATTACATATACCATGGTTTAAAAAGGAATCACAATATGCTACATACGCATAAAAGTACTGCAAGATAATACGCCTTTGATCCAACATGCCTTTAAAGCAGGAAACACAAGGATGTTCTCATATATCTTACCAACTAATTTAACATATAAATCACAAAAAAATATGATCCAGATGGGCTTCAATGAAGGAAACCAATTAACGTAGACAGCCTTACCATCTGACACATTAGCTACAATAATAAAAACCAAACAACATGGTCAAACAATAATGCTCTGTATTATATGTGACATTTCTAATTAGTTTCTGCATCCTCTTCAAGAAGAAAGACTACCAGCAAGCACTTTGTCTCCCAGAGGAAAAAACTTCTAAACTTAATGTGCGCGGAGCTCAGTCTATGGATGAAGCTGATCTATCTGTGTTCCCTTGGGATGTGCTTTGGAACTAATGGGTTTTGCATAGTCCACATCTGGTTGCACAATTAGACACAGAAAATGTTTCCTTTCAGCTGCATCACTACTGTAACTGCTGCAGACATGGAATGCCAATACCTGCATGCTACTTTAAAGCTTTACCTATGCCCATGGGCTCAGAATAAACAGAATGATTTGGGCTTTGATTTCTGTAGGATAGAATTTTGGTTTATCCTTTCTACAGTCTTCCTAGAAACGTCACTTCTCAAATGAAGCACAGTATTTTTGGCACAGACCTCCCAGCATCAGGCAATTAGGACTGCATCAGACAGTTGCAAGCTGCACTACAATTAGCATTACAAATTAAAAGCTTCACCATGTATACATGTACAGTTACTGTTTGAGAGGTGTAATGCCAACTCTGAGAACTGATTTTGTATGCACTGGCAACAAAGACTCAGTTTCATCAACTTAGACCTACTGGATCCTTCAAAATCCACCCAGGGAAATCCTTTTCAGCACATGATTGAAACTTAGAATTCTTGTGTAGGAGGTAAATAGGATCACAACTTGGAAAGTCTTGGTTTGGAAACTTGTTCTTCCTTTGCAAAAAAGCAAAGGAATGGCTGTAGGAATTCTGCTGATGTCATCATACGAAGGAAGGCCAGAGGACAGAGGACCATGTAATTGCAACAAACACAAATCACTTGGAAAACTATATTTTCTTTATTAGGATTAACACTAAACCTATCTGATACAGCAATTTATTTTGCACAGCATTCATAAACAAGTGATGTAACTTCTTAAAGGAAGTCAAGGCAGTTTCCTTTGTTTTTCACCCTTAATTTTAAAGTAGAAAAAATGAGAATTCTGACTAACTGAAAAGAAAATTAAGAATACTTAAGCCATAGGAAAATTATTTCTTAGGAATTTGCTTATTTCCAAAGTAATCCATTTATCAAGCTAGCATCAAATAGCCTTGGCATCATAAGAAAGGGTTTGTGAATTCTGACACTAACAAGAAGGTCCAGGATTCTTCACTACCTCCACCCTTGAAATTTCAGAAGAGGAGTTGACTGGCTCTGTAGACTTTCTGAGTGCACCTTCCTGAGGTTTGCAAGTACCAGTATTGCCAACTGAGACAGACTGGGCAGCATGACAATGTTTGGCCCTTTGCTCCATGTTCTCGGGGTAGCCCCTTCTGAGAAATCACAGCTACATCAAGGAGATGATGTTTGAAAAGCTCAATAAAAAGAAAATAAAATCTCTGCCTTCCAGAAAGTCGACATACAGGTACACAACTGGGAGACAAAAAAATGGTTTCTAATTCTTGTGTGATGGGACAGTTTGAGCAGGTAGGTGAAAACCGGAGGTTTCGGTCATGCACCAGAGTCTATTACAACCTCCCTTTGAGCTCTGGAAGCCCCTTTCCACCTCCTGAAATATGTGATTGGCTAAAGCCACATGTGATGAATTCTAGCATGCTGGGGGTTAAATCAAGTTCTTGCAGACCCAGCTCCCAAGATGACCATTTCTGCCCATGTGTGAGCTTTCTGGGCGTGCGCATTCCAAAATGCCACTCAGAAAGCACGTATCTGCTTACTGACAGGCAAAGGTGACACCAGATAACATCTGCTTTACCTCACCATTCAAAACCTTGACTATTGAGTCAAAAGTATCAACAGGCTCTGTTGACACAGAAAACACTACACTGACGACAGAGCCGCCTGGGACCATCGGTCACAAGCCAAGACCCAACCGCATCAGGCTCCCCAGCAGCCCATGGCCTGGGACTCTCTGGGACATCTGAAGGCCTGTCCCTGCAGCCAGCTGCAGACAGTCACCCAGCCCTGTGCTCCCAACACGGCGGCGTTCCCAGGGCGCAGTGCCCACAGCGGTTCCTTGCTCCCACCGTGGCACAGTGCCCTGCTAGGATCGCTGGGCGGCCGTCGGGCCAGGGCTGGCATGGGCCCAGCTGGCTCCAGCACAGCCAGAGCAAACACAGAGCTGCTTGCACGGATCTATGTAGAGATCCTGTTAGTGCAAGGCAAGGGGTAGCACCTGAATCCAGGCAGAGAGAGCGCCATGAGTTTGTGCAAGGAAGTCATTCCGATGACAAGCATTGGTCTCGGCACGATGGCTCCCAAACCGCCGCTATTTGTTTGTAAGCATTGTGGGAAAGGAAAGGTTTGGAGGACAATGAGGTCACTTTGAGGATATTTGTAAGGAGATCCTCCCACACATGGAAAGCTTATGCGAGAAACGAGAAAAGTGGCTGTTTGCAACTTAACCCATGGGACATGAGAGCTGGCAATGTCTACAAAGCAGAGCTTGGAGCTGACACTGCAAAAGCACATGAGAGATGATAGATAGAGTGCTCCGAGGGCCGGAAGGGGCTGCAAAGTGATATGTTCACTGAAAGAAGTATTGCCCTATTTCACTGTCGCCTCAAAGTACAGCAACACGTTCTGATTTTGTTTTCTCTGAGAACACAAGCACACGTATTTCCACTCACCTCAACAGGGAACCTCTTGCCGTTGATGCTGTGCTCAGAGCCAGCTGATCCGTTGGTCTGACCCCAGTGAAACTCCACTTTCTCTGCCTTGAATCTTCCTGGTAACCCAGCACCACTGACAAAATAATCGTCCTTCAGCAGGATAGCAACTGCACACACAGAACAATGAGGGGAAAACTCTTAGCACAGTTTTTCTGAAGCATTTATGGTTTTTGCTCATTATATCAGAATACTTTTTCTAATGCAAGCAAAATGTTGGGTCATCATTTTCTGCTTTACAGGGATTGGCTCAAAAAAAAAAAAAGTCTACAACTAATGCTGGTTAATTATGGAAGTGATTATGAAGTTACATAGACCAGAGAAAATCCCGAAGCCTGTATTTCTCAAGGACTTTTTGCCCTCCTTATTGGACTTTGATTAAAATTTAAATGGCAAACTCCATCAAAACCTGTTTAATGTGGTTCCAGAAAGTAACAGCTGACCATAGTCCCTGCCCTTATAAACCACAGAAGGTCTGCAGATCACAAGTTAGGAAAAGAACAAATTCTCTGTTTCTTGGATTTCCTTTATTTTGTTGGTGGGGACCCCTGTGCCCTCTCCCACCTCTACTGCTGGACAAGGCGGGTGCTTTCCTTACCCTCCCAGCTCCCCCTCTGTAAAATGGGGAGAGTTACAATAACATTTTTGAGACTCACTCATGAGACATCCTCCATGAGAACTTGGTTTTATTACAGTAACTCTGACATTATTATTACGTGATTCAATAAGGGTCAAAAGGATCCTCTTTGTATTTGCTTTTCACTCCCAAAAGCCTTTGTATTTTATGTAACAATAAAAGCTGTAGGTCCAAACAGAGGGCAAAATCGTACAGTGGGAGCTGGTACATGTTACAGGGGAGGTCTGTGGTCCAACCAAGAACTGACTCCAGCTTTCAAAAAGTTCCTGTCCACTATTCCCACTACAGGATCACCTGTCTTTTCAGCATCTCTTATTTTTAATACACGCAATTCCTAAAAATTCCTAAAAACAGAACTAAAATTAGAATTTTGTTTCTGTAAAAGCCACTGCAGACTACTGCTTGCTATGCCTAGAATCCTGTGTTTAAAGATTTGGGGTTGGTTTAGGGATTTTGTTTTTTAATGGAAATAGCAAAACCCACAGAGACTTCTCTGTGTTCTCAAGCCAATTGTGTCATTGAAATGGAAACATTAATATAAATCCAATTTTATTATGTAAGACGGAGGATTTTATTTCTGCTAGGAAAAAAACCAACAACAAAAAAAGCTACTTGTGAAATAAAAGTTACTCCTCTATTGGTGACTCAGCGCAGGCTCTGCTGCAGGCCAGGCTTTCTGCCCTCCCATGAGGAAAGACAGTGACATTTTTCCACACAGCTCAACTTTAAACTGTTTATGTCAAAACTATGTAAATGTTAAATTGAATGAGATGTTCAGATGCATCTAAATTGCGCCAGCGAAATCACCTGACTATTTTCTTCCATCATTTCTGCTTCTTTTGACAATTCCTTTGCATCCAAGTGTTTTTGTGGGAAAGTATGTGATGCAGTCCTGGCTATGGGGTAGTGCCTGTGTCAGCCAGGGTCCTACTGGTAGTCACTCTCTTCTTACACCAATTCTGTGAAACATATGTGACTGAAAGCACCACTGCTCTCTACTTCCCTTAAAAAATTCTCAATGGGCTCAGCAGTACTTTAATAGTGAAAATCTCATTCAATTAGTTATACATTCCATAGATAAAATTGTAGGAGATGCGGAATACGGGAAAGCAGATTCGCATGCATCTGTTAACAACCTCTGTGGAGATTCAGTTGCATCTAATAAATATTTGATAGTTTCTAAATAATTTATAGCTCTGTCAGGGGTCATTTTACTTGTTTTAGATGAATAATTAAAAGGATAATTAGGAGGATGTACAATCTGAAATGTTCATCTAATTGTTCATTTTACAGTATTTCTTACACTGCTGAGCTGTACAACATGTGTTCCCATCACCTTCCCAGCTCAGCAGCATCCTCTTACTGCCAGTAAGAGTGACCTCTTCATGTGATCTCTAGTATTCAGGACTGGAACAAACAAGCATCACCTTACTGGGCTTTGGGAGCCACTGTTTTTATCCAAGAATTTCTACAGAGTGCAAGGAATCAAGCCCCAAAGCCCACTAATTTAAAATACTGCATAACTGAGATTATGAAAGCAAAGGAAGTGGTTTGCAGCCCCCAGGACCACAATTGAGTGATGTCATTTGCAAGTTCAGGGATGGAGTTGGAGGACCATGACTCCTACGAGAGCAGGAATAAACCTGGACTCAAAGCAGCCATTCCCCTGCCCTACAGAGCAGCTCTGATGGTCAGGACCAGCCAGAGTGATGCACATCACATAGGGAAAGTACTTTAAAAAACCCCAAACATCTCTGGTAGCCAGTTTCTTTAAGCAGAAGAAGTTTTTAGAAGTTCTCAATGACCTAAAAAGGGGTAAAGTGGCAATAAGTGTGTAATGCTGGCAGAGGCACTGCTCCCTTGGGTGCTCTTCCATGGGGCAAGCTGGGTTTAAAGAAGTCTTGTCAACCTCAGGCCCGGCTGACACCAGCTGACAATTATAATGTGACCCAAATGAAAACAACTAATGCAAAAATAACTGTGAAATGTGTGCATACTTTCCAAGTGATCTTTTTCACTTAATACTATGGCTAGATATTATGGTGATGAAATCAAACACACATTAGTGCCTTTGCCAATGTAATTGTACACAAAAGCATTTCTAGTCGAGACGAGGGCTTTACAAATCCATTTCCATTTTCTGAATGAAACACTGTTTTCCATATATTGTCTGCCCTTTACCTGATATGGGGCAGGGGGGAGGGGACACAAAAGAAAGCAGAACAAATCTAAACAGCAGTAACTTCTTTACCTTTTAACATTTCAGAGCATAAAAATAACTCATTGTTCTATTCTAAAAAAAAATTACTAGGTCCTATAGCAATAACAATAACCTAAGTAACACATTTCCTGCCAGTTAACGAGCATTAAGGTTAAGGGCCTTTGGCTTTGCCTTGGACCCCTGTCTCTTTTAACCAGTCATTAATTGCAGAGAAATGCCCTGTACATCCATCACCATTGCTTAAACAGTTATTTAGTTTACTGTCTCTGCCAGTCTGCAATACGAAGGTCTCATGTGGCCATCTGCTCCAAGACTCTGCTGCCAAAATGTGTCACAATTTATGGCACAGCCTGCCTCTATCTTCTACTCACAAGCCAAAACATCCTACTTGGTTTGCTGCTCTACCACTCACCCCCTTAAAAACTAATCCCAGGCAACTTTCTTCAAAAGGTCAGAAAACCAAGAAAAGGAATGGGACTCGATAAAACAAGGGAGGAGTCAGGAGCTCAGCAGAAGAAACCGAGGCTGACAGCAAGGCAAAAAGAGTCTTCACATTACCAGGAAAAGGCCGTAAGTTACCAAGAAAAGTGACAGTTACTGTTGCTCTGAGAAGCAATAACTTGTCAGCAAAAATCCATACCCCAATGGGTGAGGAAATCAAATATAGCAGCAGTGCTAAAATCACCCAGTAGAGAAGACTGAAGGTTCAGCTTTCATTGTCAACTGTGTGGAGACTGGAAAATCTGCTGGCACGTTTCAGTTCAACAGAACAAGGTTCTGGCTTGTATCAGCAATAGTGTGGCCAGCAGGACCAGGGCAGTGACTTTCCCCTCATACTCGGTGCTGATGAGGTCCTCAGATCCTGTGATCACTTTTGGGCCCCTCAGCGCAAGAAGGACATAGAGGTGTTGGAGTGTGCCCAGAGAAGTGCAACAATTCTGGTGAAGGGTCTGGAGCACAGTTTGATGAGGAGAGGCTGAAGGAGCTGAAGGTCTTTAGCCTGCAGAAAAGGAGGCTCAGAAAGGACCTTACTGCCCTCTACAACTACCTGAAAGAAGGTCTTAGTCGGGTGGGGGTCAGTCTCTTCTCCCAGGTAACAAGCTATAGGACAACAGGAAATGACCTCAAGTTGGGCCAGGGGACATTTAGATTACGTATCAGGAAAAATTTCTTCATCAATATGGTTGTCAAGTCCTGGAACAGGCTGCCCAGGGAAGCAGTGGATTCACCATCCCTGCAGTTTAAAGGATTGGTAGATGTGGCACTTGGGACATGGTTTAGTGGTGGGCGTGGCAGTGCTGGGTTAACAACTGTTAATGATCTCAGAGGTCTTTCCCAACCTAAATGACTCTATGATTCTAACATGGTTTTCCACGATACGTGCAGCAATGTTACTATTACATGTACAGTATAGCACCAGCACCCTTCTTTGAAGAATAGAACCATCATTTTTTCATGGTATTTCTAATTACATTCATTGCTGATTACCACAAACAGCCTCTGTGACCATAAGGGCAGGGTTCATACCATGAATAGATTAATTAAGTACCAAATTTCCATAGCATTCAACCTTTTCTGAACCTCATGTTGCTACAAAGGGCAAAAAAGTCAGGATTTCAAAGCAAACAGGAGCATTTCTTAGTAAAGCTGGAAAAAAACCACCTCAGTAATGCATCGAAACCCCCAGCTATGCTTGGTGGTGGTTTATGTTAACTGGATTTGCTTTGCAGTAAAAGAAAACAGGATCACAGCCTGCCACTCCATTTCATCTGAGGGGCAATAACTCTCAGCTCCTGCTAAGATCCTGAACCACTGGAGCTGGATCTGAAGCACTTGCTGGACTCCAGGTCATGGCTCAGATCCAAAATCCCCTGGAAGCCATGGGTGTATTCAGGGTCGTGCTGCAAACTGCCTGAGCAGGTACACGCCCTGGATTTTGCTAGCAGACCTCTGGCTATGGACACAGTACAGAAAGCATTATAGAGATGCATGTCAGATGTTAATAAAGATAAAAATATACTTCCAATAAATAAAATTGAATTAATTAGTGGTTTAATCCAATTCCCTAAAAATATTTGACCTTGTCAAATGAAGAGGGTGGCCTTATAATTTCTGCTTGTTACATTTTTAGAATTAAAGAGTAATCAAATGCATGTGGTTTTGCATATAAATCAACCTTGACCTTTCAGTGAACTGTTTTGGTAAAAATAAGCAGTACTCATGCCTGTTCTTTTTTTTCTAAAAGGCAGAACAGACAGAGCAGAAAAGAATTCAGTTCAGTGAAGAATACCGTGGTATAATCATATCAGAAACACATTAATAAGCCCCCTCTACTCTGAGCAGTTATTGCTCTTTCTTCTCTAAAATCTTCCAATTTCTAAGACTTCCCTTTTTCTTCCTCCCGAGCCCTGCATTTCAGCATTCTTTTGGATTAGATGTTACAGCCTCCCAAAGTTGATAATTCAAGGTTACACCTTGAAACTCTTATACTGCCTTTTATTCTGAGGAACAACTGACTACCAAGAGAATTAGTTTATACCGAGAACAAAAAAAAGCAGTAAAAAAACACCTTAAAAAAAGCCCCCTTAAAATCAATCTGCAGAACTAGTTCTGCACAGAATGCAGAGGCAGAGGTAGGTGGCTCCTACTGGAAAATTATATTAAAAAAAGAGAGCCACAAAACCCAAACAACAGAACGATGAAAAAGGAGGAGGGTGGAACATGGCTTGAATTTTTAATTGACTGCAGGCGGGCTATGGAGACGAGTAGAAGAGAACATACCCGTTTTCCCTGTGTTTTTCATCCAAGTCTTGTTCGAAGACTCATTGTCAAAACCATCAAGTTGCAGTTCTTGATACTCATCTCCAACGTGGGCCAGATGGTCTACGATGTCTATGGGAGACTGGTGAGACCCTCCACACTTCTCGCTGGAAGTAACCCAGTGCTCGGGACCATAGGTACCTGTTAAAAAACACCAATGCCAATTAACATTCCAGTGGCTCAACGGTGCTGGGTAACTCTTAAGTGTGAGGATGAAGCAAGTAAACTCCCAGGTAACTCCACTGCTGTTACGCATCTCTCGTGTGAAAGAGGTTAAGACGTGTAAACTTATGAGGAGATTGAAATCCATTGGCTTTGTGCCGTGCTCCAACTTTGCCTCTGGCACTAACGAACAACGGCCTTTTTTAAAAATTACTATTCTATAAAACTATCTGCAGTTCCCAAGCTCTTCTTGTGCAAGTGTTATCAATTAGTGCTACGGGAACTCCCCTAAAGCTTCAGCCTTAATATATTACTATATAGTTTACCTTTTCACAACGGACAAATAATGTAGCACCTACCCATTAACTTGTGTTTGTGCAATGCTCCACTTAAATAATATGATCTTTATGAATGATTGCATTTCTTTTAGAGGTTTTGAAGCCAGAAAAGATAAAAAGAAAGAATTAAACTAAATGTAGATTAGTAAATTTAAAGAAAATAACAAAGGAAAAAAATTACTCTGGATGGAGGAACTAAAGAGGACTTCCTGTCAGGAAGACCCTAACTTTCTTTTGCTGCTATTCCTACATGAGTTTTCTGGTTTTCATGAACAGTCAATTAAAATAATGTGGAAAAATAAAAGGTTTGAGGCAAAGACCTTGTCATCCGCACCACACACCAGCTCCAGAGGCACTAGAACACTCAGTACACTTAGGAGAATCTCCCATGAATTTCAAATTGTATTAACAGAGACTAAGAGATTATCTTCCCATGAGTGCAAACAGCGTTTTAAGCTCCTGAAATAACAGCACAGAGTTCTTGTAAAGCACTTGTTGCTCACCATTCTTAAAGTGCTTTCCAGCTGGAAATTGATGGCTGAAAAGGGAAACAATTTGCCGAAGCTCAACTACCAAAACCAAGCTGAACCCTGCTCTCCTGAGACCCCTGATGTCACACCTGTATTGAACCTCTGAACTACACAGTCAGCAGGTCTGTTCGATAGGCAGACAGCAGTAAACGATGCATCAATGTGCATTTATTAGCCTTGCATCTGAGAAGCACATGTAAATTCAATTAGTGCCATGCAAACCCAGCAGTTGTGAAGGCCAGTTTCTCTGGACCCTGGGTTTTAATCTGTCTGGTTGCAAAATGCATTCATGAGTGAATGCAGGACACTTAATCAATAGCGAGATTTTGTGCTGTACTCATCACACACAAATGCTGTCTGGTACCCAAGTGACAACAAGAAAGTGTTTTACTTTCAAGTACAATTAGTCAAAACTGCAACATCCTTTAAAAATCATTTACATCATCTGCCCAGGTTAAAAACCAGTTTCATTTATCTCGTGGTTCAACTTGTACTGTCAGCAAAAGCCACTTCCAGTTAATTTCCCAATGTACCACAACCAAGGAGAAAAGAATTATTAAAAACCTTATGTGGGGGAAACCAAAAGCGTTCTGCTGAAATACTGGTATTTTTCCCAAATCAAGATGCTCTTAGTAATTGGTTTGCAGTGAATTAATTGGAATTTCAGATTTACTTTTCATATAACCTTGCATCTTACCCTATGAAATTTGGGAATTTGCTTTAAAATGTTTAGCACTACACATAATCAAACCTGCCAGCTCTCGTGTTTTGGCTTTGTTATAAAAAAGGGGTGAGCTTTTCAAAAGCACTCTGCTCACAGAGGCTATCTCAGTGGTTTCAGCTGTGCATTCAAAAGGAGCTGCACACTCAAATTTTTCTTTTTTAAGTATTCTGTGTCAACGGGGACTTTTTTTTTTTTGAGTCGGCGGATTTATTTTAACAGGAACTGTAGGGCTCCTTCCATGCATCTTGCCATAATTTTTCATTTACTTATTTATTTTAAGTATAGCCAGCTCTCAACCTATTTGCAGTGACAACTTCCTTGTCAAAATGAATAAAATAAGCCATAAGGGTAAACAAACAAACCACCATGTTGAATTAAAACCTCAAGTGACTTAGATACCTGGACTGACTTTTGCTGAAATATAGTTTCTCACAGACCTTTGAAGGTTTGTATAGCTTTGTGTAATTTTAAAAAACATTGTCTGCTTTTTTTTAATTAACTTGACTTGCTTGAATTTATTTCATAGCAATAAATCTCTTCCTACAAATACAGTAGCTTCACTTGCTTATAAATCTATAATTTACCAAAGAAAAGTCTGGCAGTATCGGCTTTCTTCACGCGACAGTATTAGTTTCCATGCATAAAATGTTTCCAAACTGGTGCTGAATTATTAAAGAAAAAAAACCTAATGCAATGAAACCCTCTCAGCAATTCAAAACCCCAACTTAGTGCTGGTGCTGTGACTCCAAGTCCTGACATCCCAAATTACGGTCAGAAGGTTAAGCTCCGACTTAGAGGTTCAAGACCTGCTAGTTAAAATCAGCACAGGATCTTATAAATGAAAAGGTTTGCCATTAATTTCTTTCAGAAGTTTTTGATATGCAAATTAGTACATGCAATATGACCTACACCATTTATGGCAGCAACTCTAGACAGAAATAGAGGCCACGACCCCAACATCTCCGTTCCCAGCAGCGCAGAATTGGGGCCATCCCAGCTTTAACAATGAGCACGAAAAGGCAAAGGTAGGATGGGGAGGCGAGAAGAAAACTTTTGAGTTTTAAACCAAACTAAATTATATCCCCTACCCAGAAAATAAAAAGCTCAACAACCTATAAAATGTAATCAAGAACAGTGCAGTGGGATTCACTTATTCCTTGGTAGTCATCAGAAGGTTCAGGCCTAACTGCCTGCTCCTTTTCATGGACATTCAAGTGCAGTTTTAATTGAAACTGATCTTCCACTACAGACTTCAAATTAATTCTTCTTCCAGGTGTCTCATGCTTCAGACATCCTTGCTTTGCAAAAAACCCCTATATCATTAGAGGAGGAAATAGAACACTTTTTCCAAGCTTGCAGATATTGATTACCCATTCCTTCCATCAAAGCACAATTGCCATTCTGCACTGTATAAATCTCTTCAGCGTTAGACACTTTATAAAGTACTGAGAATTATACCATTAATCATTTGCAGTTACACCTGTCTTGCTTTATTGAATTCTTTGTTTTTAGAACTTTAAATAAATGCTTTTAAATAAAAACATGACACTAAATAAAGACTCTGTTTCACTTAAACCTAGTAAAAAAAAAAAAAATCCCCTAATTCTGTGTGTGACATTTACCCATCTGAAACAGAGGAACTTGTGAGTTATTTGTATTTCATTTTTCCAACAGCAAGCATGGTGGCTTTAACCAAATAAAATTTTGAATGAATTTGAGTTGGCCTTTTAAATCTGATAAATAATTTGGTTTCCAAAAGCCCAAACAAGGTAAGAGTCCTCACCTATGTTAATAGATAATACTCATTTCCACTGAAGTAGTGGGACAACCTGCAAGCAAACATCAGACAGCCCCAGTCCAGGAGACACCAACTCCTGGAGCTGGAGTATTTGATGCAGGAGCAGCACAGAAAGAGACTAATAACTGATAACATTTGGCATTTTCAGATATTGAAGTCAGTGTCCTGCCTCCAGGAAACCACAGGCTTGGGTCCAACAACGAAGTGCCTGCACTGGGGAAGGAGGGATGTATTCACCCCCCAGTTCATGGCCTCAAGAGGAGATGGTGACTGAAGAACTCCTGAGTGATGGGACAGGTCTGGGGGCTGAGGAAAGCAGTAAGGAAAGGGAATTCAGTCTCAGTGATCCCTCTGAGCATTGAAGAGGAGACCACTCTCTCCCAACCCTGCAGGGCATTTTTTCACCCTTCCCACCCTGCAGAGTCACAGGACACTTGCTCTGTTCCTGCCTTGGGCTGGTACAAGGACAGAGCATCTCTCCCCACAGCCCAGTGACTGCAGCCCTGCTGCCCCTGCCCTGTGTGTGCTCGGGGCTCAGGGGGCTGCAGAGCCCATACACCTCCCGAGTCTGGACACTCCACGAGCACCCTCTGGGTTGCAGCCAGGTGCCTGAGGACTTGACCTTACACCTCAGCTTAAATCAGGGACAAAAGGGCCACTGGTTTCCAAGGCATGAAAGCAGAGCTGGGGTCAGGGACCTCAGCAACACTGTGGTGGCTGACACACAAAGCTTCAAACAACACTTAAGGCCAGAGATATTATCACTCATCCTTGCCTGAAATTACCTGATGCTTCCCAGATTCTTTTCTCATGCAAAATCTTTCTGTCAATTTCTGCAGTACCTTTAATAGTTTTTTAATACACTGTCTGCTCTTTAAATAGAATCCAAGATTACTTTTTTCCTTCTTTTTACCGTACAAAGCAATGAGCAGTCTTCATTAAAGAAAAACCATTAAAATAATGTATTCTGACAAAATCTAATTAAAGTATGTATAAAAACTTCCACTTAAAAAAATAAAATATATTTATTTTTTTCTCACAATCTTTTGTTTAAAACATCTGTTATTAAAAATACTGGCATTTCCTTGATTTTACATAATTTTCTAATTAATGGATCAGCTACTCTGATACAGACTGGTGTGTAACATATTTGCCTTTACTCAATATCCAGATAGAGATTAACAGACAATTAAACCAGGCAATTTCTGAATAATGTTTGATCATTCGTTTACAAGTTGGGAAAAAGGTAGAAATATCAACACTTGGATTTTTTTGATTTCACTTGTTTTCAATGTTTTCACAAAAATCTGACTTTAAATCCCAGACCTGATACAAAAAAAAGCTAGTGTAGGGGTTTACTGTTTGGAGGTTTTCTATTATTTGTTCTTTTTGTTGGGTTTTGGGTTTGTTTTGTTTTGGTTTTTTTTTAAACAAGATTATCTCAGACAAATCTTTGTCTCTATTTGATGCTTCTTAAATTTTCATTTTTTAATGAAAATGGTAGTAATGATTGCAAAGCAACCAAAACCCCTCACCTCTGTAATTAAAGCAAATTACCTTGGTCACTTCATGGGGACATCCTATCCCAT